TTATCCCGCATGACTTGTTATATTACTGATAGCAAAATGTCATTCGTGTGCGCCAGCAGTGATTGTTTTCGAGCTTTTTGTCACTCGTGACTCGTGGCACAAATATTCAACCAACATGTTGAATATTTTTGCCATGAATGACGATCTCCTCTGTGCATGTGAACGCTGAAACAGCGTATCAGCAACAGTGAAACGAAAAAACTGATTTCGGATATATGCATGGCTATAGATTCTGAAGAGGAATGCGAAGAAGAAGAAACACTTCTTTTTTGTTACCAAAATTTAATTGAATGATTCTCCATTTAAGCGATGATATTGCCGGGATGTAGTTTAGCATTTAACTCGCGAACAAGATTTGATACGCCCATAGTGTTTCTCTCCACATTATCCATTGCCTTGTCCATGTCTGCCGATGAGAAGCTCGTAAACGCCTACGACGTCGTCGCATAAGCAACAAAAAAGCAGTATTAAGAAATTCTTCTTCGCATTCCTCTTCAGAATCTATAGCCATGCATATCCGCCATTTTGATTTCGTTTACTGTCCCTGATACGCATGCGCTTTGCTGAGTTATTCTAAGCGTCATTCATGGCAAAAAATTCAACATGTTGAATATTTGTGCCACGAGTCACTATAAGCAACAAAAAAGCAGTATTAAGAAACTCTTCTTCGCATTCCTCTTCAGAATCTATAGCCATATTCGCCATTTTGTTTTCGTTTACTGTCGCTGATATGCATGCGCTTCGCTGAGTTATTCTAAGCGTCATTCATGGCAAAAAATTCAACATGTTGAATATTTGTGCCACGAGTGACAAAAAAACTGGAATACGTCCACCGCACACAAGAGCTTCCTGCTTAAGCACGCTGCCACGAATGACATTTTGCTAAGCAGAAAACTCTAGTGTGCGCCGGGCTTAAAAAACCCTTACGTTTGAGATACAAAAATGTTGGTTTTATAAATCGTAAAAACGATCATGTGTCCATGAATCAGTCCTCGTTTCCTGTTTTTTTTTTCAAAGCAAAAAGTGTATTTTTGTTCTTCAAGTTAATTTGGCATATTGCAGCGCCATGCAGTGGATTATGAAAAGAATTATCTCCATGCATTAAGTAGGCCTAAGCAAATAATTTAATAGTTATAAAAATTTTTCTATTTTCTCTCATGGGCATCCTAAAAATAACACTTCTTGAACTAAAATTTTCTATGCAAGATTGATCTCCATAAAAGGTAATGCATTCACAAATATTTTACACTCCTTGGTGAGATGATGCCGAGTTGAAAATTTCCAAATATTTCACACTGAGTTTGTCTCTGCGGGGTCAGTGTTTGGCCAAATATTATGATTCTGTACTGGTCGCTGCGGACGTCTGCGTAAACACATTTCCTCAACAATTAACACCAATTAGCCTACATGGCTAAAGATAATATTTGCTATACGCAAATTAATTCTCGTATATACTTGCAGAATGACCATGTATTTTGCAGGTGTGATCGTGCAGATGTTTAAATCAGGCTAAACCTGACCATTTCTTGACACGACTAGACGGTTATTGTAACTCGACAATTAAGGAAATACAAATATACATGATCCGGCATGAATGTTCCATGACTACGTGTTTGTATACGTAAAATTAGCAGTTGCAGTGAACTCCATCACCATATGGACTACATCAGTACGTACACGCCACAAGGTCTTAAAAGCAGTATTAACTGCAGCGATAGCAGAGAAATCAAAGGAAATTGCGTTTATCCGATAAAGATAACAATAACCGTACTAGTTAAATGCATACAACAGGAAATAGCACATATTTTATGCGTGTTTCACAGCTGCCGAGGTCTTGCGAAAAAGACCATAGAATCGAATTCCTTGAATCGTTTGTTCCAATTTTTTTTTAATTTGCTCAAAAACGTCTAAATCGTGATAAAAAATTAATTGAACACCACCGTCACCGATCTCGAACATCAACGTTTTTGTCAGTGCTGCTGGTACAGCGGTGCTTATTCGAGAGCGGCGTTTATTTCAGGGCTGTGCTTAAGGACTATAATACTGAAACCAAACAGTAAAAACAAAAACGATGTTCTCCCTTCTTGGGGGTGGAGGGTGGTATTTGCCTACGTACGCCTATGTTGCTGTCTCTTTTCGTTCAAAGATCGTTGCCGAGTACAAGTATGTTGATTCGTACATGCAGGGTCTATATATAGGCGGCGTTTATTGGAAAACGGCAATTAACCGAGTAAATCCGCTATAAATCAATAGATTTGTGTGGTATACTATACACTATAAAGTAACAGAAGGGTTTATTGATAAGTTTCTATATAAGACGTGTTCTCTTGATAGATGTTTCAACTGTTTTATTTTTCTTATACTTTTATCTTATTTTTACCGGACAACAAATGTGCTATATTCATTAAAATAACTGACCTCGAAAATAACTGTATAAATATAGAAACATCACTGACTCAACAAAACACATCTACTATTAACTCCAGTGTATTTACTGCATGTCAACTGAGCTGTTCATTTGAAGGGCTAATCGTAACTGTTACGATGCTTCTATGCATGCAAATCTGAACTCTAATGATCAGCACCAGTTACGAGAAACATTTAATCTGATGTGTGAAATGTTCTGATAAATAGAGTGAAATCCCATTGACGTTAGAAGCATGTTGGAAAACAGACATTACCATTTCTATATATGATCGAACAATCATGGTGGTCCGCATTCCAACCTAGCAGAGTGTGCTAATCTGTAAATCTTCATAGCAGTCTGTATGACGTCGCAAAATACCCCAAGATCTCAACTATGTTAATGTTAAACACCCAAGTTAATACAGGGATGACTGAATTAACCAAAAGTAGACAAAAAGAAAACAAGTTTTAATTTGCCAACCTGTGGATAACATGTCAATCACGATTATGTGTGACAGGCATAATGCTGCTTTTAATAAACACATGATGCCGATACGTTTTATTCTCAAGTGGGAGGGATGTGTATTTGTCCCATTTTGTAGGGTTTTTCTTTTAATTTAAATAAAACTTATATACGATGACCTGTGTTTTTGTATTATATATTGTACACTCCCTTTTCCTGTGTATCTGTCAACTACTAGTGATATTATCAAAGTGGGCTGTACAGCATACTATAGCAAAATGCATGTCATATCTCTATCGCTCTTCTCTAATAATAAATATTCCCCAGGTAGGACTCTGCGAAATGAGGGGAAAGATAAAAGAAAATAAGACCATTTTTGCGGTCTTTTCATATCGTCTGATATAGTATTAGACCGTACACAATGAATCACCAGCGGAAGGCAACAAAAATATACTGAACTTCCACGACTATACCAATATACCATTATGCAGACAGCCAAAATTAACATTCGCTCACTTAATTTCAGAAGAGAGATCGCTGATTTAACCTTCCTTTTGAAATCTATAATTGGACTTCATTTTCACTGGTGCTCTGTTCTATTCACTATTGAATTTGTGGTATGTTGAATGTGGGGAATATTGGAAAATATTTTAGCATGCGCAGCTACAGCTTACATGAGGTGATGATTTATAACATAATTGACGCTGACAAAACATTTCCTTCCACTGTATTTTCCACACCCTTTAGCGCAATGTTATTATTGCAGTTGCACCTGCACGGTTTTTGGCACAACAATGCCAATGGATCCATGCAAATAGTGTCGATGCATCTAGCACGTTGTGGGTGTGTTTAGATTAGTTGGTTTTATCACCATAAAAAGGTGTAAATCCCTAAGAATAATAATAGGCTTTTAAAAGCAGTTCATGCACATCAGTATTCGAGAAAACGTGCCTACGTATACGCTATTTTAAGATTTTCTAATTATGTATGAGATTGGTATATTACAGAGCCAGAGTTTTTACATTGCAACTCTAACCCTCATCCATTGCCAGGCTGAAGCCCGCTGATCGCGATCCCAATCCAAATTCAAGAAATAGGCTACTTTATAACTACAGTTAAATTAAGGGGGTATGTCATGATAAGTTGCAGTTACCTTTTAATAACGCGCCGCAATTTTAGTAACTAAACATCTTCGGCTTAAAAGGAATAAAAAAGTGAACGAAATCGATTAAAATCAGTTATATCAATATATGCGAGAAATATCGCGTGTACATACAATATCGGGTTTTCTCCTGCAGTTTTCTACTATAATGCATGGTTAAGCATATTTATATGCATATCTACATCATTAATTCATATTTAGCCCCAAATTAAGTTAAATATATTGCAAAATGATTCAATGTTGAAATATAACTATAAGCGTCATCATGGAAAGCACTTTATATATTATCGCACTGTGCATGATGCGGATTAACAAAAAAATTAGAAGTGTGAAGAAGCACCAAATTTGATATGTCACCACTATCTATTTATATATGTATAGTCCCTTCATCCATTTCACACGAGATTTAAAAATTTAATTCAAAAACTCATTAATAATTCATGAAGCAATTATCCAATCTTGAGTAAGAAATTAGTCACGTGCATACGTCTTTATACCAGCTAAAGAACACTTTAACAAAAGACCATTGTTATGCAAACTATATAAAGATTTTGTTATGCAAACTATATAAAGATTTTTATATAAAGATTTTTATATAAAGATTTTTATATAAAGATTTGACTTATTGTGCAAACGTTTTTGAAGCCATTTAAAAAACTCGCAGGTCGTGTTTTATTAGGTCTAAAGCCACTCGCGCTGCGCATAGTACATAAAGCCTGGTTAAATAATGTATAAACAAGAGCAACATATAAGCAATAAAGCAACACTGATATACATGCAGCATATATATATGGAGAGAGAGAGAGCAGGCCTGGCCGTTTGAGACGCGCGATCGCGCGCGCGCGCCTCCGCACGCGCCTTGACTCCTTGAGACGCGCCTTTTAACGCGCGCCTCGTTTGTTTTAAGAGTATGAAATCGCGCGTCTGTTTTTTTAATTTAAACTCGCCATTTACACTAGTTATAAAAGAATGACTGATTTAATGCTGATCAAAGGAAATGATAATTGCTGGTCGGCGAAGGAGCGTAAGGAGACTCTTCAACGTGCATTAGAATTTTACATGGAGAAAAGACGCAAAGTCAAACTCGATAGCAACACCGTGGATGAAGAAACTCCGTTAAAAAAGCGTATAATTGAGAAAGACGCCATAACCATTGACGATAACGACGATTCGTCAAGCTCGTCGGAAATCGAGTCGTAGGACAGCGATGTTGACATTTTCATTGATGTTTAAAGTACGATGACTTTGAAAACATCGTAAATACACGTACTCACTGGTACAAACATTTTATATAGTATACCTATACTAATTTCGTCTAAACTCCAATTTTAAAATTGTTTTGTTCTACATAAATTTTTACTCAGTTTTGTGAATGTTATTCTAGTCTGTATAAGCGTAATTTTTACCGGTTTTTAAATCGCGCGCCTGACGTTAATATGGCGCGCGATATGCCGCGCGCCTGCCCAAATACTTACGGCCAGGCCTGAGAGAGAGAGAGAGAGAGAGAGAGAGAGAGAGAGAGAGAGAGAGAGAGAGAGAGAGAGAGAGAGAGAGAGAGAGAGAGAGGGAGAGAGAGAGGGAGAGAGAGAGAGAGAGAGAGAGAGAGAGAGAGAGAGAGAGAGAGAGAGAGAGAGAGAGAGAGAGAGAGAGAGAGAGAGAGAGAGAGAATAAAACTAATTGTCCTTACAAAGTTAACCTACTATAGACTAATACCTAATACGCTTACATTAACATTACACACAGCAATATATACAGCTGATTCAATTAAGGTTGTCCTTCCAAAACATTAAACCTTAAACTCTGAGCGCGCAAGGGATGATGGGTTTTCACCTATTAGACCCTTAATAAACTCAGAAAATTGCCTTTGCATATACATCTTATTCTTGCAAGGTATTCTTGCAAATATTCTTGCAAGGTATTCTTGCAAAGCCAAATTTCAAAGTTTATGAGTCTAAATAGGAAATAACCCATCATCCCTTGCGCAGCCATATATATATATATATATATATATATATATATATATATATATATATATATATATATATATATATATATATATATATATATATATATATATATATGTTTCGTTGTCTACAAAAACATTTGGCAGAGTGCTCAATGGATATCCAGAGCATAAATAAGTGCAACGACTCAACAAATTCCACTAGGCATCTTTATTACTATTAGTTTCGTTCCACAAGATGTGCCACATTATATATATATATATATATATATATATATATATATATATATATATATATATATATATATATATATATATATATATATATATATATATATATATATATGATTTCGATATTTTTTTGTTGAGTTTTTTTCTCAAGGTCTTGCTTACTTTATTTCCTTCCACTCGTGAGCTCACTACGTGATCATAGTGATCAAACGTAGTGTCCAGGCCTTGTGACCCTGGATGGACACTTAAAAGGAAGGAAACCACACTGTAAACGTAAAGAATTTTATTCATTATTGATATTAAAATGACATAGTCGTGTGTACGGTTCGTTCCTCTACGGCCACGACCTCTTCTATTTCTTCCCATCTTCGCACACTATTTCAAACCTAGGAGAAGCATTGTAAGACCAGGGTTGTCTGCCAGTTATATATACTCTAGGCAATTCATAGTGCAACAGGTAGAAACGAAGGGTAATTATGCCACCAACAATAAGGTTACAGGTGTTTAAGTAAACAATTAAATGATCAATTCAATGATCTAATTGTTT